GGGTCTAGTTTCTTCTTTACCAACGATCATGCTTCAAAGCTGGGGGTGGTAAGATTGATAACTTGAATTCGTGCGACTATTCACTAGTGCACAGAGGCGGCATTTGGGCATTCTTGGGCTCGATCCAGGTTCTGTTGGCTGGTGTCATGTCTCATCTGGTCCGCATTCGCTTGTTAACCCCTTCACAATAAGAGACTCTTCTGACATTGCCAGGATGCAAGGTTGTGGCATCGGGAATACACGGAGCCAATGGCATCATCGGTTCACCCGGAAACAGCACGTTCTTCGTTGCCAGCACGTTCACTGGTGGTGTTACCGTCTTCGAGCGGCAGAACGACAATGCATTTCTGAAAACGCATCACATCCCGATTGGTATGATATTGCCCCCTTCTTCTTTGCGCTGATCTCCCCACCTCGCAGACCGGCCAATTGACAACCTTTCGATGGACGAAAACGGGGCTGTCTGGGCAGCTGGTACATTTCCATCCACGTGTCGAGTGGTCGTATAAAATATGCACAGGTATTCCTATAGCTCCTGCGATGCTTCGGCACATTGCCAATCCATCCTCTCTCTCGCCTTCGTCAGCCCATGTCATCGCCATGAATACTGGGCCCGGCTCTTTCTACGGTGAAAAGTACACTGTCACAAAGGTGAATTTCTTCCTCCCGCACACTTGACTCAAACCGCTCTTGTTCGCTGTACAGATTTTCGAGGACGACGGATTGCTTGCACCAGGAACAACCACCGTCGCCTTTGACACGAGACGAAATCGTCTCTTTCTTCACGGTGCGATGTCTCCGTTCTGCTGTCCATTATTTGCTGACCTCAGGTAGGGATTGCCGCACCCCATTTGACGGTCTGTGCTATTTAAGGGTATTTCTGCACTTGCTTGTATTCGATGATTTAGCCAATCCTAAGATGAAACATTCTTGTTCTACAGGCTAAAGCAGTTTACTAGATGCTGCCGGCGCGATTCTACTCCGGATCAGCTTGATTATAGATAGTGGCAATGTGCTTATGGCCATGATTACAGCCACTTTCCATGCAAATCCAATCGTAACAACAAAAGTCAGATCTGACATCGATCAGCTTGACATCAGACACGAGAGAGGTGTGGCTGACCAAAGTACTCTGGGAGGAAAGCAATACTGATCACATAGAAAAAGAGCGTCAACACTTCAGAGATGACCATGTAGACATGCCTGGAGATCCATAAGCGTGGCGCAAACAAACGAGGGAAGAACTGACCAAATTGTTATCTCCAGGGCGACCATAATCAATTCATTCAAGATGAGCGCCGTGAAGGAGATGGAGACGATATGCAAAAACTCGTTTTCGAAGAGGACCAGGGACATGATCATGATCGCAGCCCCTTGGTATACACTGATCATAAGCCACTGGAAGAAGGTTTTGTACGACAAAGCGCGTCCCTAAGGAGAATGAGCGAAAGCCGTGCAATGGAATCTTCCACACCTTGGTGGTTTCTTTGTACAACTCTGGATAGAGAATGGCAAGATCTTCGCTGACGTCCCGGTCCAGCACCAACGAAAAGACCGGTGCCATGGTGTAGACAGTAGCGTAGCCCACCATTAACCAGCCCTGGTATAATGCGATCGGAGCAAAGAAGAATATGGCGGAGAATACGGCCTGCATCACCGAGATGATCAAGCCGCGATGGATTACAAATTGCGCCAGCTTCGCAGACCGACGGTACGAGTTACGACCGTGCCAAAGCAACAGTTTAGTGAGGAAACTGAATTGTGTGACAGAGAAATCGGCGGCAAGGGAGGCTTGCTTGCCCTCCTTACCGACGATTCCAACACCGACATCGGCGGCTTGAATCATGCTGACGTCATTGCCGCCGTCTCCGATGCAGCAAACCCGTTTCTTGGTGTGATGGCGGATTAGACGGGCGACATCTGCCTTTTGAGTCGGCGAGCAACGACAGGCGACAACAGCAGGAAGCTTGGTGGCGATCTCGACGAATTCGTTCTTGAAAAGGTCCAAGCAAAGTTGTAACGATTCCCCGTCGATCACCAAACAGCAGTCCAGCTTCGACTGGAGAAATTCGAGTTCGTTTCTCACTTGATCGGCGGTTTGGACTGCACACAGATAGTCAGCAGTACATCACGAGCACGAGCCATGGAAGAAGTAAACAAACGTTTGGCGACTTCGTGAATATACTGGTTCCTGGCGACCAGCTTTGTCGAAATAGCGATGCAACGAGCCGTTTCAATTTTGTCTCCTGTGAGCATCCATATTTTGATGCCGGCATTGCGCAACAGTTCGAGTGTAGACTTGACGTCATCTTGGAGCTTGTCCTCTACACCGGTCAGACCCAATAGTTCGAGGTCATGCTCGAGACATTCCGCAACGACACGGGCCATGGCGTCGTTTCTGCCCTCGAGACGAATGCTGGCAGAATGGAACTGCTCCTTGAAGTCGGTGTACATCTGCGCGGACAGACGTTTCCGAGCCATCACAAGAGTGCGCAATCCTTCGCGTGCCATATTCGCGGTCTCTTCCTCTAGCCAGTCATTGCGTTGCACGATGCGTGTCATAACAACGTCCGCGCCTTTCTGCAGAAATGTGATCTCGCCAGTCTGGGTGTCCCGCACAACGATGCCCATCCGCTTTGATTCAGAAGTGAACGGAAACAACTCCAGAACATCAAAGGAGATTCGCTCGCCGCTAGGTGTCTCCAAGTCAATGCGCGTACGATCCCGGAAGACGAGTGTGAGGCCGATGGATTGTGTCCATGTGACGATAGCAACTTCATCTGGAGAAGAGGCCTGGTATGTTACAGAGCCGTCGTCATTAGTCACGGGGGTGACCTAGTGAGGATGAGTGGAGGGTATGCAACGATTGGCCAGCTGCTGACATTATGACAGAGAGCCAAGCTCAGGACGACGTCGCGGACTCGTGACGACATATCTCTCCTGCCTCGAGTAGCAAGTTGCGCTCCAGTGGCGAGGGAGTTGGTCTTCCTGTGTGCTAGATTACCATGTCAGGCATTACGTCGGTGCAGCACCACAATTTTCGCACCCTTATCGGCACCGAAAGCAACGGCGAGCTGATGAGCCACTTCGTCCATTGAATCAAATCCGTAAGACATTGTGCCCATGTGTAGTTTTCGCATCTCCATTTCTTTCATGTCTTCAGTCTACATCACGCTGCCAGCACAAAACGCACCGTTTTGAGTGAGTGTACCTGTCTTGTCGCTCAGCAAGTATTCTATGCGACCCAGCTCTTCTGGGAGCGTGCTTGTTCGAACAATCGTGTTCGGGATTTCCGCATCTCCCATGATCTGTTGAGCATAAACTGTTTTCCCCATGTCTAGATTGACACGTAAACTGTGGAAAATCAGTGCAGGATCAAATAATGGAGCGCGCAGTTAGTACCTGATCGGGATGATAGACGAAAAGAGGATGAGAAAGCGGACAATATAGATATAAGCGGGCCCCCGAAAACCGTTGAGAGCCACAAGTACTACCGATAGGACGAATGTCACAGCACAAAGGATCTTGGGAATATTCAAGCGATCGGAGTGGAATATGACTGGAAGCCTACCTTGGCAAGGTTGTTTATCTCATAGTCTAGCAAGCCCACCTTGGTCTCTGGATGGCTGGTGTTCATCACAGCTCGGGTTTCAGATCCTGTATACACTACCAGACCCACAGCAGAGCCCGACGCTAGTACCGTATTGGACCAAAGCACATTTTCGGCGGTGAGGGGTGAAACGGAAGGGATACTGTGTAAAGGCACCGATTCCATATGTTGCGTAGAATGTGAATGTGACATCGCAGGGGTGTTGAGTGTGAATGTCCCGATGAAGGTATGTATGTCTTTGATTGGTGCATCGGCTGCGACTAGATGAGCCACGCAGGAGTGTTGGTCAGATCGCCGCACTTGCCGTAGATCTCTGCGTCCAGACTGATTAATTGAAACTCTTCCAGCTTCTGACACTCAGGGACAGCAACGCGAAGCTTCCAATCTGTCTCTCCGTCCAACTGGTCCGTACGTATGAAACAAGTCCCAGAAGAGTCCGATGTGTGCAAGAGCACAAGGTCTGCAGGAACGCGCTGGTTCTTCTCTAAGCGGATGAGATCGCCGACACGCAAAGATGAAGAGGGCACGGCGCGAGTATTTGCATGCGCATCTATGTAGGCGCTGTTGAGAACCGACGAGCCTTCTGAGGAAGGGTGTTCGAGGATCAGATATCTCTGCGAATTGGCTTCTCGATCTCGAAGATTGCGTTTGTAGTCGTCGTACGCTTCCTTGCCCATGGTTACACAGAGAACGAAGGCGAGAGGGGCGATGTACGTGACGATAAAACCGATCTTGAGAGCAGGTATAAATTGGGATAGGGCGACGAGCAGGAAGTAGAGATTGAAGAAGAACTTGAACTGTTCATAGATGACCAATGGAAGGAAGGTGAGCAAGTTGTACTTTTGATTTCGGACGATATTCGGTGGAAATCTTGCTTGGAACTTGGCTGCGCCCGATCAATCCTAACGAGTGCAAGTTTCAAAGAGTTGACAGACCAGAAGGGCGAACAGGAATTGTTCTCGAGGCATCCTTTTGGACCTTCTTGCGACCCTTCAGTGACCCACCGCGCTTTGGTTGGGGCGACAGCTCGATGCTTGCGTCCACCGGATTCTCCTCCTCTTCGTATTGCGTTCTCTCTTCGTCATATCTCTGATCGGCTAATAAGCCAGCTTCCTCTTCGGAGTCGTCTGTGTATCTCTCCGTACGCCTCTTCGATTTCTTCAGCCGTGACGTCGACGCAGAGGCTGCTGCGCGAACGGAAGAACGCATGGTCGTGGTGTCCTGGGTAGGTAGGGATGAATAATTGAGAGTGTTCAGCCGAATGTTATTCGACATGAACTAGAAACTGCCGATGCGGAGTTGAAACCGTCTGCGAGTGGGGAAAACAGACCCGTCCACGATGGACTCTGCGTCACTGCGTGGTACAACAGTGACGAATGCAGTATCCAAATACGATCAAAGGGCATTGTTGGATCACTAGCGACATACATACACTGATGGGGATCACCAGACTGCTTGCGTACATACTCTCGTCTACATTTTCGAGCGATACTGCTCAGCCAGAAAACTATTTAATGGCCTTGTGAGAAAAAAGAAGAGCAGCTGCGACTCACTCACCCTTCTCCAACAGACAGGGCGCACAGACCAGCCGAGAGAGCCGACACTACTCGACGATCCCACGGCTTGTTCCAATTTAAATAAGAGTAATAGGAAATGCCACCGATTATTCCCAGGTTAATCTGATGGTAATGGTCAAAATAAATACAGGGGATATCAGCAAGGACTGACCATTCCAACCAGACCGCCAAGAACGCCGGGGCGGAGAATCTGCTCTTTGGCGTGTCTATAGATAACAGCACCTTCCTCCTTGGCCTTACGTTCCTCTTCCTGGCCTGCCGGCGTCTTTCGATACGCCTCTCCAATGAAGCCTTCCAATCCAAGTAGTCCCAGGGCCGCCGCAACCGTGGAGTATATCAATCTCGTGTCGCGTCGATAGTGAGGATTAACGTAAAACGCCCTTGCGGTACCCGCCATAAGACCAATATTCACTAAACATGATGAACACGCGAGAGTTGAAAAGCTGTAGTGTAGGGACGCGCACCTAGGCCAATCAACCCGCCAGCGACTCCGGGCCGCAAAAGATAATGTTTGGCCGAGTCGAGAAGATAGATACTTTCGGCTTTGGTCTCGTCCAGTCGATTGCGGCGACGGGGGGCGGGGGCTGGCGGAGGAACTATGTTGACCTAGAGCAAGATTAGGGCAGCGCATTTGCAAATGGTTGTCCCAACCTTCTTTGTGATATCGATATACGGCGAAGATTGTGGTGGGGCCGTATTGAGCAGTGCAGGATCAGGTTTGGGTTGCTGGTCAATGCTGGGAGCATTGTGCGCTGTCACAGCTGCGTATGAAGCCATGTTGATTCAACGTAGGATGTTGAAAAACTCGACAAATGCTGACGTACCTTTTATAGTGCGGGAGCCTCCTGTCCCAGTGCCCCGCGTCACCATGACGTCGTTGGTGGGGTTCAAATTCCCATATTTTGTTTGTATTCTTCTGTGCTACCCTGTGCTACCGTGCTTGCGAGCTTGGCATCTGATTGTTGATCAACATCTGATCAACAGTTCGTGCTCTTGAGAGCTGTCACCGTGGTACACAGCCTTGTGTCCCAGACCATCTGGTCACCATGCAAGTTGACCCTAGGCGTACGATGCGCCAGGACACATTTGACCTGCGCGACCAAATCGCTCATGATGAAGACGGGCGCGGCAACGTTCACTTGGAAGCGGCCAACTACACCAGTACGGACGAGGAGGAACATTCGGTACTGGAAAGCGATTCGGAAGGCGAGGAGAATGAGGAAGAGTTCATCGACGACGACGGTTCATCTTCCCTGTCGATTCCCAATGAGTCCATCGACTTCGACCTTGTCTACTCTCTGCACAGCTTCGCTGCCACCGTCGAAGGACAAGCGAACGTGGTCAAAGGCGATAGCTTGTTCCTCATGGATGACAGTAACAGCTACTGGTGGCTCGTCCGTGTCCTGAAAACCCAGGAGGTCGGTTATATTCCTGCAGAGAACATTGAGACCCCATTCGAGCGTCTTGCTCGTTTGAACAAGCATCGAAATGTTGACGTGCGTATACTGTTCCATTGACCAAGTGGGTGTTCACACAAGTCTATAGTTGGCTTCGGCAACGCAAGCAGAGCTTCAGTCTGATCTCAGTCGAATCCGCTCGGTGCTAGCCCCACAAGGTAGTCAGCCGAGTCCGGCCTCACCAACAAATGCACCAAATGCTCCTCGCACGGGCAACACCGTTCGAAACCCTCTCAACAAGCGACGGACTCTGTGTTTTTCTGCTGAACTAGATGTGCACAGATATCCGCCTGCCGTTTGGAATGAAGAAGAATGGCTAATCGAACGCGAAGAACGGCGTGCCGCTGCCGGGGCTGACTACGATGGTTCTGACTACGGCGAAGATGATGATGGGGATGGCGAATGGGACGTTGGAAACTACGAGTCCGAGGATAGAGAACTTGCGGAGGAGGAGGTCGTCATGCGAAGGATATCTGAAGCCTCTTTGGCGCAGGATATGGACGTGGGTGGACCTCCAAGAGAGCCTGTTCCTAAACTGGTACCTCCTTCTGAACCGGATGACGGCATGAGCTGGGAGAGCGGTGGGGTTTCCATGCAGCAGGGGGAAGAGGCACTGTCGGCTCAAGAATCTCAGTTGCGTAAAACTGGGTCAATGGAGAGGATTACTTCGGACCTTGCCGAGATCACGGAAACGCGGAAGGTCACAGTCACACCCTCCATTGCGCGTGAACCCGTCTCACCGGTGGACAATGAGCAAGAGTTGGAATCGCGCAAGCGACAGCGGGATGAAGATGAAGAGGTGGCACGGAAGCGCGTGGCCGCTAAGCCGGAGGTGAAATCCAATGCGACACCGATGGGCGCACCCGTCAGCTCGACATCAACCCAAGCCAAAGCTGCGAGTCCCGTCAGCGGCGGCAAACTCCGAAAACTTCAGGAACCCCTCGACGACGACAAGGATGGGAAGAAGAAAAAAGGTGGTGTTTTCGGCAGCTTGTTCCGCAAGAGCAGTAAAGAGAAGGAGAAGGGCAAGACACCTTCGATTGGGTCGGAGAATGATCTCAACATTCGTGCATCAGAAGATTCCGGCAGACGACCCTCGAGCAGCAATGCGGGGGATGGGCTCATGTCTCCTACCACGGCTGTGGCTATGCAGCAGCAGCAGCAGCAACAGGCTACGAGCCTCCGCAACTCGACGGATCCCAAACGAATCCAGCAGATGATTCAGCAGCAGCAACCGCAGGGCTCACCGCAGGCTGCGTCGGCGGCATCGCAACTCCGACAGCGAGATCAGCAGCAGCAAGCTCTGTATCAGCAGTACCTCAATCGATCACCGTCTTCTCCGCCGGAACAGCCGTCGTATGGCCTACAGTCTGCTTCCGCCTACATGGGCTCCAGTAGTATGAGCGTTGCGCCCAGCTCATTCAGCAGCCCGTCTTCTGGTCGGCAGCGCCCCGGGTCACTTATTCTCACGCCCTCTGACGGCGTCGGTGTCCCTGAGCTTAGCGTGATTCGGGTCTTTGCAGGCCATGGCCTGCAGACGGATGCGACATTCAAGACCGTACTGCTCAACACCTCGACGACCTCTGCCGACCTCGTCAGACAAGCCGTTCAACGATTCCGGTTGGAGGACTTGGACATGAGCGATTACTTCCTCACGGTCAAGCAGATGGAGGGGTCCAGCGCCGTTCTCAGGGACGAGGAGCACCCGTTGGTCGTTTTTGAAGGTTTGGTAGAGAGCGCACCACGCGTCAAGCGAAGCAGTGTGGGCAGTGTCAGCTCGGTCGCCAGCAATCTTTCCATGCATCCGGCCATCAAGAAGTTGGACATGAACGATTTCACCGACGATTCAGTGGTCAAATTCTACCTTAACAGAAGAAATGCCGGCGACACAACCGTAGACAGCATCGATGCTGCCGACGACACGTTGGTCGCTGAGACCGTGGACGGAGACGATTCTCAAAGATATCTCACCGTCTCGACCACTGCAGGCACAAATGTCCAGCCGGAACGCTTCACTTCCCCTTCGATCAGGTTTGCTTTGCAACTCGTCATCTTTCCTGAAGACCTCCCCGATGACATGCTCTTTGATCCGTTGACTGAGGCGATCGTTTTCAAACACACGCTACGCGATCGAGGTCGTCCGTCAATCAACTCTCCTGGCGTATCCCAGTCTTTGCGCCGGAAGGTTTTCGTATTTCCAAAAAACGTGACTGTGGCCGAAGTTATTGAGATGGGCTTAGAACGATTTGGGATTGAGGAAGGAGTGGTTGATGGTGGTGATGAGATCGAGGATAAGCTTTCCAAACGACGAAGTGCTATCCGTGTTCGATATGGGCTTGCTGTGGATTTAGGTAACGGAAAAGGTGCGTCATTCTTCTCAAATCGTTGCTCGCCGGTCTCAGGGCGTTAGAGCGAGAACTGTCTCCTTCTAGTCGTGTGATCGATGCATTCTCAAGGCCACCATCCTTTCGCTCCCCCCAGACGCAATTTCAGAACAAGCGGCGCTCAGTCGACTCGGCACAGATGCTAGGGACTGTGGAGGATGTTGGTGCCGACGATCCAATATTCATTCTCAGACGAGCAACTGCATATCGGAGTTCGGCTGCATCTCGGCATCGCGTTTCAGGTGGACTGGACGAAATTGCCTTGCAAAAGTTGCACAGAGACTCAGTTGATGGCAATACGATTTCTGGAAGCTCTGCAAAGGATATAATCGCAGCGCAGCGGGCAGCGATGAAGGCCACTCAGGACCGGATTCTGTCTGCATCGACGAGCGAGCGATCAGAGACAAGTCGGAGACAGCCCTCTGTGACTTCCTTGGTGTTGGATGATGTATCTGGACATGTCTCACCTGCGAAACTGACCCAGAAACGTGTGGCCATTCCTCACGACGATTTCGGGGTGTCTCATATGATGGCTATCATCTCGCTGCGCGGGTCGGTCAGCAGAAAGCCTCTTGCTCCCCTGGATACCGTCGATGAGCTGTTATTTGGTCGTCCAATGGATGTGACATCGCTCCATCCCAAGATTCGGTCCATCTATGCTGACGCTGCCAAGGATTTGGATGATATTGACAAGGTCTGTCGCCTTTTCTATCTAGTTCATGTCTCCCTAAATGCTACTTCCAGCTGCTGGATCGATATATATATAATTAGGAATGGCTCGTTATTATTGTCCTTGCGATCTATCTACTTTTTAGCCATCAACGTCTTTCTGTAGGCCTCCTCGAGTTCGGCTTGGACGTTGGGTAATGCTGGCATGTGTGTCTTGTATTCCATACTGAATTCACCTGCCCGGAGAGTGAGACCGCCATAAGAGAATCGCGATGATATAAGCAGTACCTTTGCCTTGGGTGGATCCTCGCAATTGATTGGAGTATCCAAACATGTCGTTCAGAGCAACATCGGCAACGGCCGTGAACTCGTCGTCGCGGACTTCACTGTCGATGATGGTCCCTCTCCTTGTGTTTAGACCCCCAATGACATTGCCTGTAGGTGCCAATAATTGGTCCTGGAGGGACAAAATACTTCAGAGCACTGACTTTGGAACTCTCCGGGCGCCACAACCTCTACTTTCATGATGGGTTCCAGTAGAGTGGCCTGAGCAGATTTGAAGGCTTCGCGGAAAGCGCCAATTGTCGCGTTGCGGAAAGCAAGCTCGGACGAATCGACAGCGTGGAAGCCTCCATCTTGCAGAACAAAGCGTACTCCAGTTATGGGGTTTCCTGTCAGAGTCCCCTTTTCCAGAGCCTCGTAGAAACCCTGTGCTCCAATATAAATATGTTGTGAGCGGCAAGAGAAAAACGACGCACCCGCTCAATGGCCGGAATAAAGTTGGACGGAATTGTGCCTCCCATGATCACATTTTCAAAACCAACGTCCTTACCAGTTTCGGGGTCCATCTCCATAGGCTCAATATATCCAGCGACCTTTGCGTATTGTCCAGCACCGCCGGTTTGCTTTTTGTGCACATAAGTGAATGGGGATTTCTTCATGATTGTCTCCCGAAATGCGACACGGGGTTTGCCGGTGATGCAATCGACGTTGTACTCTCGTCGCATCCGTTCGACGTAGATTTCCAGATGCAATTCTCCCATTCCCGAAATGATGGTCTGCAGTGGGTCATGTTTATGATCAACGAGATGAGCCGAAGCACACAGACCTCTTTGCTCTCTTGATCTATGTGAACTCGGAATGTCGGATCCTCCTTTTGGAACCGGTTCAGCGCACGCGAGAAGTTAGGAGTTTCGATTCCTTGAGGCTTCAGAGCAAGGGATATAACAGGTGCAGGAACAAACATCGAGGTCTGCACACCATCAGCCACTTCTGAGAGACGTCGATGCGCTCGTACTCACCATCGAGTAGCTGGTGGATCCATCCGTGAAGGTGTCGCCAGACGAGCATTCCACACCAAAGATGGCACATATTTCGCCTGGGCCGATGGAATCAATGTCCTACGTCGTGTCAGTTGAGCGGAAGGCGGGAGAAACGCCCACTCGCCTCCATCTCATTGCTGTGCATGCGAACGAGGCGAGGGACTTTCACTTTCTTTCCAGTGCGAGCATTGTAGATCAGATTGGCCCTCTTCAGAGTGCCTTGGTACACCCGGATATATGTCAGCTGGCCAAACCGACCCTCTTCCAGTTTGAAAGCCAGGCCAACCATCGGTGCAGCCGCCGCCGGTTGGAGAGGAACAGAAGGTGAAGCCGCGGGCAAGTTGGTGTCATGGGCCAGCACTTCCAACTCAGATGGATTGGGCAGGTAAGAACAAATGCCATCGAGCAAGGCCTGCACGCCGGTGTTTTTGATTGCAGAACCCAAGAAAACTGGGGAGAACTTGAGCCCGATAGTGCTCCGTCGGATAGCTGCAGCAAGAAGATCATTCGAAGGGAGCTCGTCGTTCAAAAAAAGCTCTGCGATTTCTTCATCAACCTCAGCAAGCTGTTCTATAAGCTCAGTGCGCTTTTCCTTGGCAAGTTCTTGCAAGGATTCAGGTATTTCCTGACTGACAACGACATCGACCCTGAGCAGAGGAATGAGATCACGGGAGAGTCACAGACCATCAACGCACCCTTTCGGCCCTTCGTTGTATATAGCCCGCATACTCACCAGATCCACGACACCCTTGAAGCCATCCTCGACGCCAATGGGAACTTGAACAGCAGCAGCGGGTATCCTGAGCTTAGTCCGAATTTGGTTCACAATGCGCCACGGGTTGGCACCAGGCCTGGGGATAATCATCAGAAGGTATGTGAGTATGAGCCACTGCACTCGCCTGTCCATCTTATTCACAAAGGAAATACGAGGAACGCCGTATCGTCTCATCTGACGGTCCACTGTTGTCGTTTGACTCTGATAAATTCTTGAGCGAGTCGATATCAACGAAACAAACAAACAAACCTGAACTCCGGCAACCGCACAAAGCACCAATACAGCACCATCTAACACACGAAGAGCGCGCTCGACTTCTATGGTAAAGTCGACATGACCTGGAAAGAGGATTGGATACCGCGAGGCGAGACAGTCGAAAACAGGCTAACCGGGGGTGTCAATGATGTTGATGGCGTACTTGGATTTCGTGCCGTCTTGGTTGGTTGTTTCCCAGTCACAGAAGGTAGCCGCACTCTGAATAGTTATTCCCTTTTCACGTTCCAAGTCCATGCTGTCCATCTTTGCTCCAACAGAATCTCGACCTCGGACCTGTAACATAGCTTTAGCTCCGGCTTCCGTATTCTGCATAACGTCGATGATGGTCCCCGGCGCGTCTCACACCTCGTGGATCTCTCGTATACGACCGGTGTAGAACAATATCCGCTCCGTCAAGGTCGTCTTTCCAGAATCTATATGTGCAGAGACTCCAATATTGCGCTGGAAGCTGAGACGCTTCATATCCTGCTGCGTGAGTCTGTGCGCGGGAACGACGGGTTCTTCCAGTGATAATTTAGAAGCTGTGGCCGTGGATGCATGTCGCCATATTTGGGGCCTGTTTGAAGAGACCACAGAGGTCCGTATACACCGGGCAAGTAGCCTGAGCATGGAAAGTGGAAGACACTCAGGAAAAACAGTGACAGCCCCGTGACGCTGATCATTAAGAGGTGATGTGTCGGACCAGAGCGGAGTATGTAGTATTTATATGCAAATCCTTCATATGTGAGTAGGTAGGTACATACATGTTTCGCGTTATGGTGACTTTTCCTCCTTGGCGTCCTTTTCGCTCTTCTTGACAGGATCCTTTTCTTTCTCCTCTTTCCCTCTCTCGTCGACAGAATTCTCCTCCAACTCTGCTCGACCGACAATGGCTTTGTTGTCGACCAGCGCGTGTAACGCAATGACGGCGCGCAACAGACTACTCAAGTAAACAACGAGAAGCGTATCATTCGTGCTGGACGCAAAACTTTCTTGCAGTATCCGATCACTGAGATCTGGCAGCAGATTGAAAGTGTCCTGAAGGTGGTACACGATCTTGTGGTTGACGGGCATGTCGCCGGCAGCGACATCAACGAGATATTTCTGAACATCAGATAATCTGGATTGCAGTCCACGCAGCGATGCTAGCTGTTCTGCGACCCGGGTAGCAAGCGTCGTCGTCGTGCTGTCTTTGATGTCCCGTAGAAGATGTTCGACGCCAATCTCTTCCGCTTCTTCACCTTCAATCGCAGAAGGGACATGCACGAAAGTCTTGAGGGTTTCTGTGCCGTCCTGAAGTTGTGTCATCGATAAGTAGAACTTTAAGGCTTGACAACTTACCTCTTTGATCTCATCTATGGCAAAGTATGCGTCGGTAGGTATGCCGACTGTGTAAGGACGGACGTCGATTATCACCATCAATGGTCGCGCGACAAAGCGTTTGAAAAGGTCGTTGATCTCCTGATCCGAGGCTCGAAGTTTGGGCCCCGTGTGATACCAACCAATAAGCCGTTCCTTAGCTGGGGGAAATGAGAGGCTGTACAGAGAGAAACAGGACGGATGGCGTACCGTTGACCTTCCGAAACATATCATACATTTCCTGCAAGTAATTGTGATCCAAGAACCAGCTTTTGCTATCCTTGTCGTCTTCTTCAAATGGTATGCCAAACGAATTGGCCACGTTGATCGTTTTACCATTGTCCTGACCCAGTAGAGCTCCAATGACACGCTTAGTAGAAGTACGGGAGACGGAGCGAGCATGATGATCCGCGACAGAGAGAAGTACGAGTGGATGAACAACGGCTGTCAAGTTCTGAAGAGTCCCAAGCTGTTCTGTGGTTGCTGCGGGCATGGTGGTGGTAAGAGCTAGTGAGAAGTTCCCTGACGCGACGCGCGGCGCACAAACAAGTACAGACACGACTGACTTCTGAATGAAACCACGAAAGTCGGCGATCCCAACGCCGGGTCGTTCGCGTTCCTCCTCATCTGCAGCTCAGGTTTTTTCCACGATGGTTATATATGCAGATTTCTTAGCAATATTTTGCAGCCTGTTCCTACTCCCGATGTCGACTACATGTCCAAAGCCTTTTCGGACGCCATCAGAGCGAACGATCCGGCTTTGCACCGTGGCGCGCGCGCTAGTGACGCCTCCATTATATCTGGTTCCCCACAATCCACTTCATTCCCTCCTCGTCCACCTTCGATCGCGTCTTCAACGTCCACAAGACCACCGGAACGCGCGAAGACACCGACGACGCGACCTCCTAGCCGACACTCCGATATCTTTGGCAAGAGCATCGCCCGTTCATCTCCGCGCGCCTTTGATTTGGGCGACAATGTCAGAATTGAATCCCTTGGATTCGAAGGCATATTGCGATATCTCGGTGGGATCGACGACAAACCAGGTGTTTGGGCTGGAGTAGAGTTGTCCGGAGGATTTTACGGCAAAGGTAAAAACGAAGGATCTGTCAATGGGTGCGGGAAAACTGCTCGTTCGGTCAATATCTAATCTGCTGCTCAGCAAGCAGTATTTCTCATGCCCACCAAAATGTGGAGTCTTTGTCGCGTCCACGAAACTATCGGCACCCACCGTCGGACCGGGTGCGATCAGCCGACCATCTTCTGTTGCTTCGTCTAGGGGTGGGCGTAACACACCCTCCATATCCGGCCGAACTACACCGTCGTCTGTTATGTCTTTGAGCACAAGCTCGAGGACCCCGAGCAGTGCTCTGTCTACGGGACGTCGAACTCCTTCTCAAAGTGGGCGTATTACCCCATCATATCTGGGACGTGTCACTCCTGGGACGACGCCCTCAGCCCGCAAACCTCCGATGAAATCGACACGAACCCCAGGATCACTATCAGATAAGCTAACCGCTGGCTCTCGTGCATCGAAATATGTGGCAATGACGGCCAAGCAGCTAAGCACCAGAGACTCTGCGATACGTCCTATTGAACCTCCCAGTCCCCGACAACAACCATCTCCCTCAAGAATCAGCTCCACGGCGTCATCGCCGACTAGAACTCTCAGTTCCCCATTCGGCACGCCAAAGCCGAGTCTGGGTGGGCGTCTTTCCACACCCGGAAGCACGGGGATAGGCCGTCCTGCTCTAATCACCCCGCGAGCTCGTATCCCCAGTGCCATCGCCATGCCTCCACCTGCATCACCCGTGGCACGTACGCTTCCGGAGGCATCTTCGCGGCCTGATTCGGCATCATCTAATCAATCGGTGGTTTTTGGTGAAGAACGCGCTCAGCTTCAGTCGCGCATCGAGGCTCTCGAATACGACAATGGCCGACTTCGAGCGGCGGCGGACACAACATCGGAATTGAAGGCAACCGAAGAGCAGATGAGACAGATCGAGGAGCAGATGAACGCAGCACGCTCTCAAGCGGAAGATGCGCAGCGCCATGCTTCTGAGCTCGAACATAAGCTGGGCGCTATCGAGCGAACACTTGCGGATCGCGATGCCCAGCTCCTTGAACTGGATGCAGAGCGCAATCAAAAAAGCTCAGCACTCGAACAGCAACTGCAAGAAGCCATAGTACGCGCAGACTCATTGCAACAGCAATATGCCCAGAGTGCCGTGTCTCTGCGAGAAACTATCTCTGCGAGGGATACTGCTGAGCGGGACTCCGAAAGCAAATTCCGAGCCAAGGACGCTGAAGTCGCTTCGCTGGAGTTGAGATTGAAGGGTGCCCAGACTCATTTTGAGGAAGAGCGGAGGGAATTGGGCGCACAGGTAGATGAGCTTAGGCAGGCAGGACAGGTATGTGACCGAGCATCATTTTGTCCTCCTGCGACTCATGACAGTCATAGGAAACGATTGCGTTGTACGAAGAGCGCCTGAGCGAAGCAGACCGAGAACGATACGATCTCGAAGCACGTATCACGACACTAGAATCTCGCGCCTCTGCTCGCAGTCCATCTCCAGCCTTAACAACCAAGACAGCAACTTCCTCGGCGACGGAAATTGACAACGAGACCTTACGCGAGCAAGTCGTGCATCTACAGCGAAAGATCAGCAAACTAGAGGACGCTCTTGAGGACGCTCAGGCGGCTCAGGAAAGAGATGAGGCTGCATTGGCTGACAGGATGAGACGTCTCAAGGAGAAGGAAGAGGCTATGAAGAAGGAGCTGACTGAAGGACGCAAGGAAGTTGAACGTACGCTCAAGTCCGAAGGTACCGCTCGTCGCCGATTGGAAGAGATTGAAGAAGCGCTGCATGAGAGCACTGCCGCGCTCGAAGACGCGCGAGCGGAGGTTGAGGGACTACGTACCGAGTTGATGGTCCGGGCCGCCATCCATCATAAATCCTTTGTCACTGACATTTCTCCAGAATCTGGATGGACTTGTCACAGGGAATGGAGATACTGGTGATCTCTATTCTCGGGTTGCTCTGCTCGTGACTCGGGCATCAAGTGACAGGTCAAGTTCCACGTCGGAAATCGCACATCTGCAAGAGCTTTTGAAGGAAGCGCGGCGTAAAGAACTTGACGCTGTTCAGGATGCTGAACAATCTCGTGACAGCCTCTCTAATGTGCGCTCGGAGCTTGAGACCCTCAAGAATAGGACGACAGATCGTGACGGTGGGCTGAACAATGACATTCAACGTGTGCCAGAGAGGTCTCCAGCATCCACGAAGCATGATCTCTCAGCAGCCAAGGATGAGATCACTGGTCTCAAGTCTGTTGCCTCCAGTAATACTCTAGCATTTCTGATGAGACCCCAGGCATATCGTTCAAGAACTACAAAAGGAAAACCTGTCTGCTGCTCAGCAAAACAAATTACTTCAATCCGAGAACCAGCTGCTGGCTTCAGAAGCCGAGCAGTTACGGCAGGTATAGTTGTATGCTATGGCCTCATGGTTTATACTGATTTCTTACTTAGGAAATGCAAGTTCTAGAAGAAAACTTGGACAACAGCCTCATTCATGAAGCAAGTGATGTGTCCGATGCACCAATGGATATACCATCTCTTCAAAAGCTTCTTAGAGAGCAGAAGCTCAGGTCTGAGGTACTTTTACTCACTATATTTCTTGGACAATATGAAACAGCTATAGATTGAGACTGATCAACTGCACAAGCGTCTCATGGATTCAGAGATGAAAATGGCTAGAGTTTCCCATGATGTAAGTGACTTCTGAAACAATCTATGTAATTCTCAAACCTCTTTTCTATAGTTGCAGAAGGAGATTAGTGAACTGGAAGCCTTGATTGAGTCCAAGGAAAGATTCCTATCTCTGCAGATCTCATTGTTTCTTCTAAAACCTTCTATAGATTTACCATGAGGATGAGTTGGAGCAGGAGCTTGAACACCTCAAGGCCAAACTAGAATATCAGACAAAGTCCTCCAAACAAAGCAATGCTGTTGATAACAAGAGAGCCTCACTAACAGTCTCCCATGTCTCTGATGGAGATCTTGTTTGTGAAATATGTGAAAAGTCTGGTCATGACATTTTCTCATGCTCTCTTCTTGCAACAGGTTCATCTTCTGATATGGTCAGTTTCAGTTGTTTTACTTTACAAGTCCTGTACTGAATTTCCCATGTTAGGTAGAGCTACCTCATGAAAACTTATTTTGTGAGGATTGTGAAACTCATGGACATACTGCTGCCAACTGTCCACATTCACTGGATGTATTCTAGTAATCTAGCAATTTATACCCTCAAAAACAGTATCTTATTGATTTTTATTTGTTGCACAAGATTGAAATTGTGCAAACAGAGAGAAAGTGGATTCTTGTGCATTCTGCCTCTATCAATGTTTTTTTCCCTTGCATGTATTTTTAGATAACTTTAATTCCTCAACTGTTTGATTATTTCTCTATTTATGTTGGCTTCCAAGGTTGCATTTGAACCTTGCATTGTACAGTATATACACACAAGCCAGCACTGATTTGTAATGAAGCTGAGACTACTAATAAACATTATGTAACTTCTGCCTTTGCTTCTTCTCTGGCAATAATATTAGAGAATGCTATACTCTTTGGTATATAACTATGCATGTGATCCACTGCATCTTTTTGTGAACAGTTGTAAACACCTACTCTGGAATACATCTTTGATACACCTTTCTTCATATATGCCAAACAATACCTGTTAATCACCCAGCTATTCCTGTGACAATCAACAAGAGATAATGTTGAAAAGAGAAGTGAATTTGAAGACTGGAGAATACAACCAAGTAGCTACAGTATTTATACCCAAATCCAGTCTGAGTCATATCTACAACTAATGAGTCATAAGGCTATGTACCGCATGGTGCACTGGTCATGGGTTGTAGTAGAACCTTCTGGAGCATATGTCGCGCAGCCTTGAATCAATAAAGATAATCCCTGAAACCCCCTAGCCCAGACCGTCTGATGCCGTGATCCGTGATAAGATAAGTTGTGCCAAGATAAGATGAGATCGTTGATGATAAGATGAAAAAGTGGCTGAACTATGACATTACCCCCTCTCTAGGGTCGATGTCCTCATTGACTAGGCCAATGGGCGTGAAGGCGTTCTCGTAAGGGTCAAAGAGTTGTCGTTGGGGATATGGAAGGTGCTCGTCCCTGGGTTTGTAGTGATGAATAAGGTAGTCCCAATGTCCAGCTTCGAGTGTTGGCAGGAGGCGAATGCGTGTGTCTAGGTTGGATTGTTTCCTCTGCCAATCTCTCAGGACCTTTTTTGCGTGGGTAAGGTGACGTGATGGTTCCCAGGTGTTCTCGCTATGCGGCCATCCCTTCCATTTGACCAAGTACTGTTTTCCTCAGCCAACGTTTCGCTCTTTCACGATCTCTTTGACTTCCCACTCCTCTGCTCCTCCAATCATCTTGGCTACGGGCCTCTTCTCTTGGCAATGGGGGGATGGCTTGTGATAGGGTGTCAACAGTGACTCGTTGAACACCGGGTGCCTTCGGTCCGTGTCCGGCAAATCTAGCTTCCATGCAGCCGCTCCAACCTTCTCCAGTATCTTGTATGGCCCCAATCTCTTGTCACTCATCTTCTTTGATGGTCTATCCGTCTCAATATTGTCCCCTTCTATGTACACCTTCATCCCAACCTTCAACTCCAGAACTTCTTTTCTTTGTTTATCATAGTATTTTTTCATTTTTCCAATGCTGCTTTTGCTTCGTCTTGTATTTCTTTGATTCTTTTTACAAACTCCTCCACCGACTCGTTCCTCGATTCCATCTGTTGCTCCACTCCCTTCCATGAGTGATATCCGTGATTCGCGTAGAACGATGATATTTTGGTAGACCTGTTCATTTTATTGTTATATGCGAACTCTGCCATTCCCAGCCACTCTGACCAGTCCGTCTGATGGTAATTGACATAGATGCGGAGATAGTGCACGATCTCTTGATTCATGCGTTCCGTTTGTCCATCCGTGATCGGGTGATATGCGGTCCCCGGATTCATTTCCACGTTCAACATCCGATTTGTCTCCTTTATAAAGCCCTTGATGTAACGCGAATCTCTGTTGGTGATGATCTTGCAAGGGATCCCGTGGTAGCGGAAGACTTGGTCCCTGGTTAATCGTGCGACTCCTTCACTGCTGATGTCAGTACTAATTGGTTTGACATGGATCATTTTGGTGAAGGTGTCACACCACACGTGAATTGCGTCATACCCATTACTGACTGGTAAGGGTCCAATTTGATCCATTGAGATGATTTCCCACGGCGCATTTGGGACTGCATGCGGGTGCAGAGTCCCCATCCTTGCTCTCCTGGTCTTGGTCCGTTGGCACGCCTCGCACGTCTGGATGTATTTCCAAATTTGGTTTCCCATCCTTGGCCACCAGTAGTTCCTTTCCACCATTTCCTGTGTTCGGTTGATTCCAGCGTGTCTGACTAAAGGTGTGTCGTGGTGTAGCCCAATGATCTTGTCTCGCAGTTCCTCATCCCTCGGTACGTGATGAGTCCGTCTTCCTTTTTCCATCCAGCAAGTGACTTCTCCAAGGCCGCCTTGACGCTTCCATCAATTGATCGAATGGCCTTGATTTCATCGATTAGCTGCTGATCCTGTCCCTCGAACGTGACTTCTTGTGATCGGAAGAACTCGGGCTTCAGTAGCGTGACGTCCTTGTTGTCGTTCTTGCCCTGATCGTGATCTGCTCGTTGGGACAGGAGATCTGCCTTGCGGTTGAGTGCGCCGGGTCGGTGTCGTAAGGTGAAATCGAACTCCGCCAACTCCGTGATCCATCGTGCTTGCCGTCGATTGAGCTTCTGCAGCTTCCAAAAGTACTCAAGATTTTGATGATCGGTGAAGATCTCGAACGTTTCTGTGGCTCCCAGTAATAACTGCCTCCATTCATCCAATGATAGCATGATCGTGAGCATTTCTTTGTCATAGATCTCATAATTTTGCTCGGTTTCGGTCAATGCGTGCGAAATAAATGCAATTGGGCGCCAAATGCCGTCTTGGTTTTGGCTCAGAACGGAGCCTGTTGCCCCTTCCAAAGCATCAGCTTCCAGACAATATTGGCCAGTGTCATTTGGCAGTGCTAAGACCGCATCCTCTGCGATTCTCTTCTTCAACCCATCAAATGCTGCACACTCATCTGTACCCCATGACCATCCTGCCTTCCCTGTCAGCCGTGTCAACGGCTTGGCAACCTCCGCATATCCCCGGACGAAGCGTTGATAGAAGTTGGTGAACCCTAGGAAAGCTTGGACTTGTTTGACGCTTTTTGGTTCAGGCCATTCCATCACGCCCTTGATCTTGACTGGGTCCATTTGCATTGAATTGTGTCCAATAATTACCCCCAGATATTCGATCTCTGTGTGTTCGAACTCGCACTTTTTGGGTTTCAGATACAACTTGTGTTTTTGGAGCAGTTCAAGTACTCGCTTTGTGATCCACCGATGTTCGTTCAAGGTTTCTGTGAAGATCAATATATCGTCAAGATAGACTACCACATGTCCCTCGTTGATCAGTTCCCGGAGTATGTCATTCATCATGTTTTGAAAGGTCGCTGGGGAGTTTGTGAGGCCAAAGAACATAACCAAGGGCTTGTACAGCCCGCGGTTCGTGCGGAACGCAGCCTTCCACTCGTTGCCCTCTTTGATCTGTACATTGTTGTATCCCCATCGGATGTCTAGCTTTGTGAAGAACTTGGCACCGCAGAGGTTATGGACCAGTTTGGAGATCAGCGGCAGCGGGTGCCAATTTCGGATCGTCATCTCATTCAGCTTCCAATAATCTTGGACAGGTTGTAGCGAGCTATCTTTCTTCTTGACAAAGAAGAACGCTGATGCTATAGGTGATTTTGATGGCCTGATCCGTCCGCTGGCCAGGTTCTCTTGTAAGAACTCATTGAGTTTGACTTGTTCGTTTTGTGATAACGGGTACACCTTGCAGTCCACTGCTTTGGAACCCGGTTTGAGCTCAATTGCGTGGTCCCATGCTTGTCGGTCTGGTAGTGAGTCGAACAATTCCTTGGCAAATACTTGATGAATTCCCGATATTGATCCGGAATCTTCCCCTCAGTCATTCTCTCTTTCTCCTTTTCCGCCTCTTCTGCGAATTTCTGTGCCGGCGTTTCCTTCAGCTGCAGATCCACTTCCTTCCCAAAGTCGACCAACAGGATTGATTCTCCCTCTTCCAGATCCGGTGTGCCCGTGTCCAGGTTGATTGCATCCATGTCAATCATCGCTTGATGTTCCTCGTGACCCCTCATGTGACACCGCTCTGGGCATCGGCTGAATCTCATCGTCTGCTCCTGCCAATCCACCTCTGGGTTGTGTTCCATCAGCCAATCAAGACCAATGAAGATCCGGGCCTTCCCTAGGCACGTCAGAAGGAACGTGCGTGTCTCCACATGAGGGCCAATTCTCATCCTCAGGTCGACGTAATGCGTGATTCGTCCGCTGATGTTCTTGGTGTTGTCGGCATTACGAGCCACGATGGGTTGCGGAAGCTCTTGGATATCCAACTTCTCTGCCCGCGCGTAGTCGGTATCAATGCAGCAGGTACTGCAGCCACTATCCAACAGTGCTTTGACTCCGCGCGTTTTCCCCGAGTCCAGGCCTGTGATCTGGACATATATGTCCATTGAATGCCTCTTCCTTTTGGCCTGGTAGTTGCGCAATTCCTGCGCCAATCTGTTGGGCTAGGGGCCCTTCTGTTTCTTGGCCGCCAATTTTCTCTGGACGGCATCTGGCACCCTGGTGCGTTTGGGTGCTTCTGGAACCTTGATTTTGGCAGATTCCTTAGGCGCTTCCTCCCTTTTCAAGGATTGAGCCTCCAGAGCAATACTCCCCTTTTTGGTCTTTGTTGACGTGGTTTCTTCTCCACGAGCCATAAATAAGTAGGAGTCCAAAATTCATTTATCCGCAGCTTTCTGATCCTTTTTACTCTGTAAATACTCTCTATTTAAAGTTATTTTTCTTTGGCGTTCTTTTTCCATATTGGCAATGAGAAAATCGTGAATATTCGTATGTAGTGAGTCTGAGATTGTGTATGTATGTGTAGAATCGTTCATGTCTTTAATCGAAACAAGTACAGAAAATCGTCCATAACCCAGACACTCCACCTCCTTGGCTAGAGGAGTGGAGCGCTTTAAAAACCCTTCTCACGCAGCTTCTCGGCAATCTCCCTGAGGAACTTGTTGTCCTTGTCCCCGTTCTTGATCTCTTCAAGCATCGTGGCCCGATTGAAAAATGTGCGCTTCTTCCTTGGTTCTGGGCAGTTCTGCGCAATGTGCCCAGGCTGCTGACAGTTGTAGCAGATGATATTGCGGCCGCGGGCGTGCGTGCAATCGATTTCCATTGGAACCGGCTCATTGGCGGCGGGTCAGGTTGGAGCGGGTGTGGGCGCGGCTGGTGCTGCCTGGGAACGGAACTGGGAAGGTGGTCGTGGTGTGGAGTGCCCATGCGATGCTTTGCGCAGCTGATCGCGCAGAGCGTTTGCCTCAATGTTGACACACCAGTCCTTGAAGGCACTATACGCCTTGGGCAGAGGGATACCAGTGTTGTAGAGGCGACTTACGATCTTGCTGCTCAACCTGCACTCGAGGAACTCAATGAGGATGTTGTCCTGATCCCCCTTCCTGTACTTGCCCTTCGAATCGGTGGAGGTGACCACATTGTAGCCTGCGTCTGCAGCCAGCATCTCAAAGTTGGAGATATAATCTGCGAAGGATTACCTATTCTGGCGCAGAGCCATGAGTCGAGCAGTGGCAACTTGCTCTGCGTTGGAGTCCCCAAAGGCCCTCTGAAGTTCCTCTAAGAAGGTCGCCGAGGTGACCCCAGCCTTTATTCCATTAAGGCTCTTGAAGTTGCGCTGTTTCTAGTTCATTGCCCATCTCGAGGCGGCGCAGCTTGTGCCAGCCTCGTTACGGAGGTACGAGAGGATGAAGAGGATTTTTGTCTCATCCTGCGAGAATTCCGACCAATAGGCACCGATGTAGGTGGTGCACGAGTCCACAAAGCCCATATATTTGGATTTGTCCCCATTGAAGTAGGGGGGGTTGGCAGCGAGGGTCATGTGGTGGTGTCCTGACATGGTAGAAGCAGGCGTGGTAGGTGGGGGCAAGGGTGGTTGTTCAGAGGGTAACTCGTCAAGGTCGGGGATCTCGTCTTCAGGCGGCGGGAGGGCGAGGTAGGGGTTGGAGGGCCCTGGTTGGTTTTGATACGCCAGATCGGGCAACAATGGTAGGATGGGAGGAGGGGACAGACTCCCAGACGACGATGGGAATCGGAATGAAATGGTGGATTTGTGTGCTGTACAAGCACTCGAGGGAGGGTTCTTTTGCTAGCAAAAAGATCCTGGGCCTAGCTTCTCACGTGCCTGATGATCCTGAGGTGCGTTTTCCCAAAGGTCTCCGCAGCACTCCTTGTAGCTACTGTAAGGCTTGGGTCGGGCTCAATGTTACCCGTGGCCTGGTGCTGTTTGCTCAATATGAACCCTCCACTGCAATTGCAGAGGACAACTAGATGATTCGGTAAAAGGGTGAGTGCAATAATAAGGGTGCAGAGGATATAGCAGGCATAGCAGTGAGGGATGTAGGGGTAAGAGGTATGAGGTAGGAGGGTATGAGGGGAGTCTTCGAATTATATGACAATCAACAAGAGATAATGTTGAAAAGAGAAGTGAATTCGAAGACTGGAGAATACAACCAAGTAGCTACAGTATTTATACCCAAATCCAGTCTGAGTCATATCTACAACTACAGTAGAACTGCTAATAGGGAATAATTTTGGGAAGGCCTAGGCCATCCCAGATTTGTATTCCTTATCACGGATATTCCATATGAGGTGTTGAATTCAGTGGTGAAGGGCAAAACGGGGTAACCAAATTGTATTCCTTATGACCTATATTCCTTATCACAGTATTCCGTATGAACAGTTCTACTGTAATGAGTCATAAGGCTATGTACCGCATGGTGCACTGGTCATGGGTTGTAGTAGAACCTTCTGGAGCATATGTTGTGCAGCCTCAAATTGATAAAGATGACCCTCTATACCTCTAACCCGGACCGTGTGATGCTGTGATCTATGATAAGATAAGATTGTGCATGATAAGATAAAAAGAGAATTGAACTATGACATTACCCTCTCTCTAGGGTCAATGTCCTTATTGACTGAGTCAATGGGTGTGAAGATATTGTTGTATGGGTCAAAGAGTTGTTGTCAGGGATATGGGAGCCACTCGTCTTTGGGTTTGTAGTGATGAATGAGATAGTCCCAGTGTCCAGCTTCAAGTGTTGGCAGGAGGCGAATGCGTGTGTCTGGGTCGGATTGTTTCCTCTGCCAAGCCTTCAGGACTCTCTTTGCATGGGTAAGATGACATGATGGTTTCCATGTGTTCTTGCTATGCAGCCACCCCTTCCGTTTGACCAAGTACTGTCTTTCTTGGCCAACATTTTGCTTTTTCACGACCTCTTTGACTTCCCACTCCTCTGCTCCTCCGATCATCTTGGCTACAGGTCTCTTCTCTCAGCAATGGGGGGGGGCAGTTCATGATAGGGTGTCAACAATAACTTGTTAAACACTGAGTGTCTTTGGTCCGTATCTGGCAGATCCAACTTCCATGTGGCTGCTCTGACCTTCTCCAGAATCTTGTATGGTCTCAACTGTTTATTGCTCATCTTCTTCAATGGTCTGTCTGTCTCGATATTGTCCCCTTCTATGTACACCTTCATCCCAACCTTCAGTTCCGGAATTTCTTTGCTTTGTTTATCGTAGTATTTTTTCATTTTTTCATTTGCTTTTTCTAGTGCTGTTTTTGCTTTGTCTTGTATTCCTTTGATTCTTTTTACAAACTCTTCTGCCGACTTGTTTCTTGATTCCATCTGCTGCTCTATTCCCTTCCATGGGTGATATCTGTGATTTGCGTAGAATGGTGATACTTCTGTAGACGAGTTCATCTTGTTGTTATACGTGAACTCAGCCATTCCCAGCCACTCCGACCAATCCGTCTGATGGGAATTGACATAGATGCGGAGATAATGCTCAATCTCCTGATTTATGTGTTCCATTTGTCTATTGGTAATTGGGTGATATTGTTGAAGCAGGAAATGCAGAGAGGACTGGAGTCAACAGTAAGAAGCTCTGCATTGCAAGAGAAAACAAGAAAAGAATCTACAGACCTGGAGTCAACAGTAAGAAGCTGAAGAACTCCAGGGAGGGAGGAACTATCTATGTGGATGGAGCATGTGACTGTACAGGAATCATGTGATCAGAAGTCATGTGACCAGAATGATGGAATGATGGGAACAGTGATGGAATCAGATATCATCAGTGATGTGATCAGTGATAAGATCAGATAGAATCAGATGATCATGTGACCCAATCACCAGAGAGTGATCAAGTCCAAAACCCATCACCAACACTCCCCCGGGATGAGATCAGTCTCTCAGCCTCTCCCCCGCAATCTCATCAGTGTGCGCAACCTTGCCACCTGAGGCCGAGGCAGCGCCTTGGTCATAATGTCAGCCAGCTGGTCCTGCGTTGGAACATACTTCACATCAATGAACCCTCTGACAACTTCATCTCTGAGCCAGTAGTGAGCCAGGTCCAGATGCTTCATACGCCCATGGTGTTCAGGATTCTTGGACACAGATATGGCAGACTGGTTGTCCATCATCAATGGAGAAGCCCCAGACACACCATGCTCCAGCTCATGCAGCAGATTCCGCATCCACTTGATCTCCTTCCCAGCATCCACACCAGCCACATACTCTGCCTCAGTGGTGGACAGAGAGATGGTGGACTGCAGCTTGCTCCTCCAGCTTACTGGTCCACTAGCCATCATAATGACATACCCCCCAGTGCTTTTCATGGAGTCCTTGTCTCCAGCATGATCATCAGCATCAGTGAAGGTGGTGAAGAGGTCGTCAGGATGGATGTGGGTGGCTGGGTCATAGAGGGTGGGAGAGGATTTGGAGTAGGTGATGCGGAAGTCAAGGGTGCCCTGGATGTATTGAAGCAAGTGCTTGACAGCCTTCCAGTGCTCTTCACCAGGATTGCTATTGAAGCGTGCCAACACCCCCACAGCATAGGAGATGTCAGGGCGAGTCTGACAGGCCAGGTACATCAGAGAGCCAACAGCAGACAGATAGTTGCCCTTGAACTGCTTGAACTCCTCCTCAGTCTTGGCTCCCATCTCCTTGGTCAGAGACAGGCCAGGCAGCATGGGGGTGTCCACAGGCTTGCAGTCAGCCATGCCATACTGCTCCAGGAGGTTCACAGCATACTGGCGCTGGGAGATGCTGATGTCTCCAGTGTGCTCATCACGCTCTATCTTGATCCCCAGAAGCCACTCTGTAGGACCCAGATCCCGCACCTTGAAGGCTGTGCCAAGCTGGGCAATGACCTTGTCAATGTCAACATCATGCTTTGCAGCAATGGTGCCATCATCAACATAGATGGGCAGGATCACGCGGACCACACCATCAGAGTAGATGTGGCAGGAGCTGTCAGACTTGATGCACTTGAACCCCATGGCAGTCAGCTTGGCAACCAACTTGATGCGCCACTGGCGGCCAGCCTGCTTCAGCCCATAGATGGACTGGTTCAGCTTCAGGACCTGGCCCTTCTCTCCCTGGGGGAACCCTTCTGGCTGAGTCATGTAGACATCCTCATCCAGGTCCCCATTAAGGTAGGCAGAAGAGAAGTCGATGGAGCGCAGCTTGAGGTTGTTCTGGGCAGCAAGAGCAAGGATGACGCGCAGAGTAGCAGGTCTGAAGGTGGGGGCAAACACCTCATGGTAGTCAATGCCATAGCGCTGGCCGCGACCATCTGCCACGAGTCTGGCTTTGTAGCGTTCCACAGTGCCATCAGACTTGTGTTTGATCACAAACACCCATTGAGAGCGAATTGGCTTGACCCCTTGTGGCAAGTCGACCACATCCCATGTGCAGTTGCTGAGCAGAGAGTCAATCTCAGATGCAGCTGCAGCGCGCCATAGTGGACCATCCTCCCGCTTGGACGCTTCAAAGAACGACCGGGGGTTCCCAGAGGCTACAGCAGACAACACGGACTGCACTGCAGTAGCGTGAGCTACTGCCAGCTTGGGATCTGAGGGGTCACCCTCGCGAGCCACAATAAGGGCAGAGGATGACTTCAGAAGCAGCTCATCGTCGCTGAGGTCTTCAGGGATCTCTTCAAAGATCTCTGCCATGGTGCGCCTGGGAGGAGCAGCAGCCGGAGCTGGAGCCCTCCTGGGTGGTGCAGGGACACGATGGATGCCAGCAGCAGCACGACGAGCTGCCACCCCAATAGGAGATTAGGGAGGAGGAGGCGAGGGTAGAGGGTGAAGCGGGGCATCCCCAGCTGGTGGTGGAGATAGAGGTGGTGGAGCTCGACGCAAGAAGTCGATTTCATCATCACTGCTGGCTGCAGGAGAGGGAACTCGTGGTGCAGGGAGAGGACGAGCAGGCGGCTGTTGCTGCTCATTATCACCATCGTCATCAGGCACATACACCGGTGCCGGAGCACGAGGGGGATCCACCAGCATGGAGGAGGGGGGTGCCGCAGGACAGCTCCTCATAGCTTGAGGGGTGCTGCCTGGGAAGTAGCGCTCATCAAACACTGCTCTCTCAGCGATCACGAGCTTCCGAGTCTCTGGGTTGAAGAACAACCATCCCTTGTACCCTGCAGGATAGCCTACAAAGATACACTTCTGGACATGATGTCCAGAAGGACCTCTCTTGTCTCTTTGCACATGCACATAGGCAAGGCATCCCCAAACACGAAGATGAGACACATCAGGCTTTGCCTTGAACCACAGCTCATGGGGAGTTCTGGTGGGATCCCGAGCTGTAGGGTGCATGTTGCACACATGGATGTATGCAGACACCGCCAGTGCCCTGAATGCAGGGGGCAGGTTGGCTTCGTGTAACATGGCAGTAGAGTGCTCATCAACAGTGCAGTTAGACCGCTCTGCTGTCCCATTCTGCTGAGGCCGTGCCCTGACTGAATGGCGGTGCACAATGCCACACTTGTCCAGATGTGATCTGAACTCATTAGACATGTACTCTCCCCCTTTATCGTCCTGGAATGCCTTGATCTTGAGCCCCCAGTGAGTCTCAGCATACGCTTGAAACATCTTAAGGGCTGCAAAGGTCTCACTCTTGTTCTTCATGTGGTATGCTACCTTGAAGCCAGTATGATCATCAACAAAAGTCACCCTGTGCTTCCAGCCCTCGCGGGTGGGCACAGAGTAGCTCTTTAGATCAGAGTGAATAAGATCAAGAGGCGCTCCAGAACGATGACCAGTCGAAGGAAACAGGCCAGCATTCAGCTTGCCAAAGAGGCATGGCTCACAGATAGGGTCTGGCTTCCTAGCAGAGGCAAGCCTCACACCAGTAACCAGCTCTTTATCCATAACTAGCTTGGTATCACTGTGGTGTCCAAGCCACCTGTGCATTAGGCTGAGGTCGATGGGAAGAGTCCCAGCTGTAGAGACCAGTGCTGAACCAGCAGAAGGGAAACCAGTCTCTCTTACAAGTGCCTGACTCTGCTCTGAGATGTCTGCCACAAAGTACACTTCACCATTGCGCTTGAACAGGATGTAGTTCTCCTTCATGAGCACAGTGTAGTCATGGTGAACTGACAGGTATGTAGTGGAGATCAGATTGTGTGACAGAGCAGGGACATAGAGCACATTGGAGAGGATCACAGACTGGCTCCTGGCATGTCCATGGATCAGTGGCCTAAGCACTATCTCCCCCACAAGCTCTGAATAGACCACAAGTCCATTAGCCACTCTGATGGGTGCCCTGTGAGGACGAGTGTTCTGCAGCAGGTGCACACAATGGGTCATGTGACCAAAATGATGGAATGATGAGAACAGTGATGGAATCAGATATCATCAGTGATGTGATCAGTGATAAGATCAGATGGAATCAGATGATCATGTGACCCAATCACCAGAGAGTGATCAAGTCCAAAACCCATCACCAACAGATATGCGGTCCCTGGATTCATTTCTATGCCCAACATCTGATTCATTTCCTTCATGAAGCCTTTGATGTGTCATGAGTCCCTGTTGGTGATGATCTTGCGAGGGATCCCGTGATAGTGGAAGAGCCAATCCTGTGATAGCAGAAGACTTGGTCCCTGCTCAACCGTGCTACTCCTTTGCTGCTGATGTCAGTACTAATGGGTTTGACGTGGATCATTTTTGTCTGATTTGATCCATTGAGATGATTTCCTATGGTGCGTTCGGAACCACATATGGATGCAAGGTCCCTGTTCTTGCTCTCCTGGTCTTGGTCTGTTAGCATGCCTCATATGTCTGGATGTATTTCCAGATTTGATTTCCCATCCTTGGCTACCAGTAGTTCCATTTCACTATTTCCTGCATTTGGTTGATCCCTGCATGTCTGACCAAGGGTGTGTTGTGGTGTAGTCCAATGATCTTGTCCTGTAACTCCTCGTCTCTTGGTACATAGAGTTTCCCAAGGTACTGTTGAACACAGAAAACTCAGATGGGAGCCGCAGGAGGCTAGGGGCACAGATGGGAGGCGAAAAGCCCAGTAGGTCACATTGATCTGATGCTATATACTATGCGTCACAGAGTAATGTCACACCCTTTGTCCGAACCAAGCACATACAATATCCACACATCAACACTCCCACCCTTGGGAGGACAAAGCAATCCAGAAACCCAGCCACTCCCACCCAACTGAGACACTCCCACTCCCACCCAATTGAAGTCCACCAGATTCTCGAAGATCCAGACAGCCCCTGCACCCAATTCGAGTCTTCTTCAGCATCCAAGTCGATCTGCAGAGATCCAGCAGAGATCCAGGGAGATCCAACAAGATCTGGCTAATCCACCAAGATCCAGGCAGATCCAAGCAGATCCAACGCGATTTTCGGCCTTCACAAGACAGGGTAGGGTGGTGAGGACTGGTGTGTGCAGGGGGCAGCAGCACAGAGCGAAATTCGTCAAAATCCATCGAAATCAGGAAAGGAGGGAGGTGTAGGGGCAGGGAGAGTGGCTGAGAGAGAGTGGTGAAGCAGGGGGCACTCCAGGAGAATGTGTGTATGTAGCAGCTGTGTGGTAGCTGTGAACTCATCTGCATGAATCTGACACCCTCCCCAACATCTCCACCCAAGATCTGGCTGATCCATCCCAATCCCTTCCTCCAACATGGTTGTACAGGTAGATGAGGTCGAAATGGTGGTCCTGGGGGTGGCAGATGGTGGCAGATGGTGGCAGAATGGAGATCAGGCAAGATCGGAAAAATGCGCAGCAAGGAGAAGGCCAATGAGGGGCAGGGGGAGAAGAAGAGGGTTTAAAGATGGGTCAGAGCGGGGCCCATAACCTGTTGAACACAGAAAACTCAGATGGGAGCCGCAGGAGGCTAGAGGCACAGATGGGAGGCAAAAAGCCCAGTAGTTCACATTGATGTGATACTATATACTATGTGTCACAGAGTAATGTTACACCCTTTGTCCAAACCAAGCACACACAATATCCATACATCAACGCAATCAGCTGCTGATCTTGTCCCTCAAATGTGACTTCTTGTGACCGGAAGAGCTCAGGCTTCAGCAGAGTGACATCCTTGTTGTCGTTCTTGCCCTGATCATGATCTACCCCATCAAGATAAGAGATCCGCTGATAGGCTGGCTACTAGACACGCTCTGCACCAGCTCTATAAGGGCGTATTTTTGTGCTTTTACAGAGTTTACTCTTGAACCACTCAGTGTATTGTGTCATGGTTGCCAGTGTTGTGCTCAGTAGGACTTAAGGGTCTGCTGCCCAGTCAATGACTGCGGATAGTGTTAACAATGGCAAGGCAGTCAGACCACCACTGTGGAATTGGTCTTAGAAGTCTACACCAGGCTCAGGGCTATTAGTGATGGACACTTGGACTGCAACAATTTCCCAAAAGGGATACTTTGTTGTAGCGACTCCACAAAAAGGGGTCATTCTCTGCAGATAGAAACTCGGGCTGAAGGACTTAGCAATGTGCAATGTGCTCAACATAATAACTACTACTAGACAGGACTTGGCGTTACAAGATTGAACCAATCTTGTCGCAGCAACTCCTGGCTTTGGGTTGAACATTTCCTTGGATCATGCCACAGTGACAACTTGTCACATGCCATGTTCTACTTGATCACAGGATATTGTAGACGTGTTGCAGTGACACTTCAAAGTGTCACAGTGAGTTGTGCCCATAACCAAACACACCAAAAGCAACATGGGCTAGATCCGTGAACTGAACTATGTGAGGAATGTCTGGCATGCCTAGGACCATACGGCTTCTTGGAGCACCGGCGTTGAACTCACTTGCCAAGACATACCAGTTAGCCAATCCAACACGTTGTATTCCAAAAGCATGATGGAGTGGGTTGTCTGTTGGAGTTGGAAATCCCAGCACCAAGGCAGAATAGCTCAGTAGTTAGAGCACTGGACGATCCAAGTCAGAGGTCCCAGGTTTAATTCCTGGTTCAGCCATTTTATCAACATCATGAGCTCCTGTACATATTCCATCTCCAACGTCTCTTCCTCTTTGACCATTGATCTCTTCTTCAGATCCTCTAGGTATTCGCACTTCTCTTTGAGCCAAGGCTCAAATGTGGCAAAGTCTGGGATCTTCTCCTCTGCCATGAGGACCGCCATAATGGACCATCCTCTCGCTTGGACGCTTCAAAGAACGACCTGGGGTTCCCAGAGGCTACAGCAGACAACACGGACTGCACTGCAGTAGCGTGAGCTACTGCCAGCTTGGGATCTGAGGGGTCACCCTCGCGAGCCACAATAAGGGCAGAGGATGACTTCAGAAGCAGCTCATCGTCGCTGAGGTCTTCAGGGATCTCTTCAAAGATCTCTGCCATGGTGCGCCTGGGAGGAGCAGCAGCCGGAGCTGGAGCCCTCCTGGGTGGTGCAGGGACACGATGGATGCCAGCAGCAGCACGACGAGCTGCCACCCCAATAGGAGATTAGGGAGGAGGAGGCGAGGGTAGAGGGTGAAGCGGGGCATCCCCAGCTGGTGGTGGAGATAGAGGTGGTGGAGCTCGACGCAAGAAGTCGATTTCATCATCACTGCTGGCTGCAGGAGAGGGAACTCGTGGTGCAGGGAGAGGACGAGCAGGCGGCTGTTGCTGCTCATCATCACCATCGTCATCAGGGACATACACCGGTGCCGAAGCACGAGGGGGATCCACCAGCATGGAGGAGGGGGGTGCCGCAGGACAGCTCCTCATAGCTTGAGGGGTGCTGCCTGGGAAGTAGGGCTCATCAAACACTGCTCTCTCAGCGATAACGAGTTTCCGGGTCTCTGGGTTGAAGAACAACCATCCCTTGTACCCTGCAGGATAGCCTACAAAGATACACTTCTGGACATGATGTCCAGAAGGACCTCTCTTGTCTCTTTGCACATGCACATAGGCAAGGCATCCCCAAACACGAAGGTGAGACACATCAGGCTTTGCCTTGAACCACAGCTCATGGGGAGTCCTGGTGGGGTCTCGAGCTGTGGGGTGCATGTTGCACACATGGATGTATGCAGACACCGCCAGTGCCCTGAATGCAGGGGGCAGGTTGGCTTCGTGTAACGTGGCAGTGGAGTGCTCATCAACGGTGCGGTTAGACCGCTCTGCTGTCCCATTCTGCTGAGGCCGCGCCCTGACTGAATGGCGGTGCACAATGCCACACTTGTCCAGATGTGATCTGAACTCATTAGACATGTACTCTCCCCCTTTATCGTCCTGGAATGCCTTGATCTTCAGCCCCCAGTGAGTCTCAGCATACGCTTGAAACATCTTAAGGGCTGCAAAGGTCTCACTCTTGTTCTTCATGTGGTATGCTACCTTGAAGCCAGTGTGATCATCAACAAAAGTCACCCTGTGCTTCCAGCCTTCGCGGGTGGGCACAGAGTAGCTCTTTAGATCAGAGTGAATGAGATCAAGAGGTGTTGAACACAGAAAACACAGATGGGAGCCGCAGGAGGCTAGGGGCACAGATGGGAGGCGAAAAGCCCAGTCTGTCACATTGATCTAGGGCTATGTACTGATGGTCACATAGCTAAGTAACACTCTTTTGTCTGAACCAAGCAGGACATCCTTTCCACACTTCAACACTCCCACCCTTGGGAAGACAAAACCAATCAAACAGAACACTCCCACCAAATCCAAGGCCACTCCCACCCAACCTAAGTCCGTCTTGGAGACAGGAATGGTCCACTAGGCCCTCCACCAATCTCCGCTTCATTGGACATCTGGAACTCATCCCACATCTCAAAGAAGCTCTCCCTGGTCAGACCAGCCTCCAGTGCAGCAGAGAAAGCTGCAGAAGCAGAGCTGCTCTTGCCATTAGCCAGGATCCAGTCCTTGACAAAGGTGGGCATGGTGTGCATGCACTTGTGAGCGATGTGGCCAGTGCGTCCACAGCGATGGCAGCCCCTGGTGGTAGGGTCACACCAACGAAAACCTTGGGAATCCAGCGGAAATCCGTCCTGGGTGTTGATATGTGGATATTGTATGTGCTTGGTTCGGACAAAGGGTGTGACATTACTCTGTGACACATAGTATACTGTACTATTTCGACCGTAGTTTCAACCCGATGACCGATGACAGCTTAGATTCGATGGTGCATAGCTTCGAGGTCCGGGATGACCAATGACAGCTGTCAGATAGCTTCGTTGTGATGTCGGGCACTGGCGGCGCTTGGATCTGATTAAGCACGAGGGAATGCACCCAATTGAAGCTGTCTTTGGGTTAAAATGTGATTGTTTGTCATATTAGAACTAATCTAGCCTAGATTTGACACGATCACACTGATTAAGCTCGCTCTGTGAATAGATTGTTACCACTGTCCTGCCAGCGCATCTTCGACAGTCTCTCCATGGATAACAACGAGCCTGCCATGTTTGATCCTTTCCCATGGATTGGCGCGGGATACAAATGGAGTGCTGTGCCTCCACGTGTCCGTCGCTTCGCTGCTAATGAAGTCTTCGCCATCCCCGCTGAACTCGGCATCTTGCCCTCGGACGATCTGCCCATCGCTGGGCTTCTTTCTCTCACAAATTGGAAGCTCACCTGGTTTACCCAGGTGAGAAACACTAAGTCCGAGAGGTGAATGAGGAAAAGAGGGGTCGTCGAGACAAGGGATGAATCTGAATCAAGCTGTATTCTGAGAGTGATACGTATCGTAGTGGAAGTCGAGAGAGAGAGCGAGAGATGATGATGATGTCAGTAACTACGTAAGCAAGCAGGCTTGCACCCCTCCCCTCCCTGAAAAAAAAGAGGCCTCTCCGAACGTAAGTAGGTAGGGGAAAGTATTCTAAGCCTGCCGCGCGAGTGCATCAAAATAAAACCACTGTTGAGGATGGGTTTTGGACTTAATCACTCTCTGGTGATTGGGTCACATGATCATCTGATTCCATCTGATCTTATCACTGATGATATCTGATTCCATCATTGTTCCCATCATTGTTCCCATCATTCTGGTCACATGACTCCAAGTCACATGATTCCTATACAGTCACATGCTCTATCCACATAGATAGTTCCTTCCTCCCTGGAGTTCTTCAGCTTCTTACTGTTGACTCCAGGTCTGTAGATTCTTTTCTTGTCTTGTCTTGCAATGCAGAGCTTCTTACTGTTGACTCCAGTCCTCCCTGCATTTCCTGCTTCAACAGGTTATGGGCCCCTGCCTCTAGAGTGCCTCTGAGTCATCTATTCTGAGATTTTCGAGTTTTTTTTCCATTCTCTGATTTTCTCTGCCTGCTGCTGCCTGCTTGCCCCAGTCCTGCTACTGCAGTTGACATCTCTGCTCCCCTCTGTTCTGTTTTTTCTGCTCTTATAGTGTCTGTGGTTCAGGCACTAGTAGTTGGGACTCTATCCTTAAGTGGGTGTGCTCTTTGGTCCATCAGGAAACACCAGGTAGTCATTCCTGTGATCCTGAGGTTGAGACAGCTAGGTGCCTGAGATCAACACACTCCTGAGAGCCTGTAGCTACATACATACATCCCCTACATCATTCTGGGCGCATTTTTGAGCACAGCATGGCATCAAATTCCCACTCTCATCCATCAGTCTTTTCTCCTTCTGCTGCTCTGGCAGCTGCACCTGCTTCTGCTCAGCCATTGTGTTATGCCTGTTATCAACATGGCCACACACTCCTAAAATGCCCAGAGTTTCTGTCTCTCCTAGAGGACAATGCTTCTGAGCCTGAGCCAGAGCCTGAGCCTGAGCCTAGGCCCAGGCCTAGGAAGGGTGCAGTCAAGTCTGAAGTGGCCACTCATACAAGCCTTCTCTCCCACTCCACTGCAGACCCTGAGTTGAGATGGATTGCAGATTCTGGTGCCACATCACACATGACACACTGTGTGCACCTGCTGCAGAATACTCGTCCTCATAGGGCACCCATCAGAGTGGCTAATGGACTTGTGGTCTATTCAGAGCTTGTGGGGGAGATAGTGCTTAGGCCACTGATCCATGGACATGCCAGGAGCCGGTCTGTGATCCTCTCCAATGTGCTCTATGTCCCTGCTCTGTCACACAATCTGATCTCCACTACATACCTGTCAGTTCACCATGACTACACTGTGCTCATGAAGGAGAACTACATCCTGTTCAAGCGCAATGGTGAAGTGTACTTTGTGGCAGACATCTCAGAGCAGGGCCAGGCATTTGTGAGAGAGACTGGTTTCCCTTCTGCTGGTTCAGCACTGGTCTCTACAGCTGGGACTCTTCCCATTGACCTCAGCCTGATGCACAGGCGGCTTGGACACCACAGTGATACCAAGCTAGTCATGGATAAAGAGCTAGTTACTGGTGTGAGGCTTGCCTCTGCCAGGAAGCCAGACCCCATCTGTGAGCCATGCCTCTTTGGCAAGCTGAATGCTGGCCTGTTTCCCTCGACTGGTCATCGTTCTGGAGCGCCTCTTGATCTCATTCACTCTGATCTAAAGAGCTATTCTGTGCCCACCCGCGAGGGCTGGAAACACAGGGTGACTTTTGTTGACGATCATACTGGCTTCAAGGTAGCATACCACATGAAGAACAAGAGTGAGACTTTTGCAGCCCTTAAGATGTTTCAAGCGTATGCTGAGACTCACTGGGGGCTCAAGATCAAAGCATTCCAGGATGATAAAGGGGGAGAGTACATGTCTAATGAGTTCAGATCACATCTGGACAAGTGTGGCATTGTGCACCGCCATTCAGTCAGGGCACGGCCTCAGCAGAATGGGACAGCAGAGCGGTCTAACCGCACCGTTGATGAGCACTCAACTGCCATGTTACACGAAGCCAACCTGCCTCCTGCATTCAAGGCACTGGCGGTGTCTGCATACATCCATGTGTGCAACATGCACCCTACAGCTCGGGATCCCACCAGAACTCCCCATGAGCTGTGGTTCAAGGCAAAGCCTGATGTGTCTCATCTTCGTGTTTGGGGATGCCTTGCCTATGTGCATGTGCAAAGAGACAAGAGAGGTCCTTCTGGACATCATGTCCAGAAGTGTATCTTTGTAGGCTATCCTGCAGGGTACAAGGGATGGTTGTTCTTCAACCCAGAGACTCGGAAGCTCGTGATCGCTGAGAGAGCAGTGTTTGATGAGCGCTACTTCCCAGGCAGCACCCCTCAAGCTATGAGGAGCTGTCCTGCGGCACCCCCCTCCTCCATGCTGGTGGATCCCCCTCGTGCTCCGGCACCGGTGTATGTCCCTGATGACGATGGTGATGATGAGCAGCAACAGCCGCCTGCTCGTCCTCTCCCTGCACCACAAGTTCCCTCTCCTGCAGCCAGCAGTGATGATGAAATCGACTTTCTGCGTCGAGCTCCACCAGCTGGGGATGCCCCGCTTCACCCTCCACCCTCGCCTCCTCCTCCC